TCCGTCGAATCCCCGTCGTCACCCCCCGGATCACGCCTTATCTCCCCGGAATTTCGACGGGGGATCCGAGGATTTGGCTGGCAGGGAAGAGACATAATTATAAACAAGTCAAGTTCTTCGGAAAGAGAATAATGTTTATGGTGCGCATTTTCGAGAATGGTCCCCCAGCTCGTCGTCATCCAGGTTATACAAGCTATATAAGAAACAGTTGACTTAAAACGATTTCTAACGCAAGATGCTATGCTTGACTAAAATGTAAGCCAATAAGCGTCGCCTTTATTTAATTATCTGCTAAATAACAATGACAAATTAACGTCTAACTAGCGCAGCCACAATCGCGCATTTACTGTGGGAAAGACTGTAGATGATAATTTTTGCATCACAGATTCCGCAGAATAAGCCAGATATCACATTATCATTCTTATTCGCTCCTCTGCGTGGTCATTAAGCCAACCGTTAAAGAAAGCACTTGCCAGAGATCAACTGAAACAATACATGCGAAAAATCAGCCTCAGAAATTGTCCACATTGTTTTTTTGTAAATATTATTTTGATTATGTTGTTTTATTTTCTCCATTGCTTTTATAGATAGGCTTTAGTTCTACTGAAAATAAAGTGCATTCATTTCACAAGAAGTTCCACGTTTTCAAGATTTTCACCTTTTAAAAAAATTGGCACTGGCAACTAAAATACTGAGTTGCCTTTGTGCTTGCATTTAACTGGCCATAACTTTCTATTTATTCGGTATTTCAGTCTATGCATATATGCTTACAAATATATACATATACATATATATATATATATATACATATATACTTACTTATGTTTGAGAATGCTCGTGTAGTGACGGATATTTCAGGACTTACATAACGGTACGCACCAGAATTCGTGCAACATGCCCACATATGCGAAAGATTGATACTCTTTCGCTAATCGGCATTGACTAAGGTTGTGATACTAATTATTGTATAGGCTTTTCTGAAGTTACGTCAGTCATGATAGAATACGGGCTTTTAACGAGCTCCTTTCTGACCACCAACAAAAAGTATGTACTGTGAAAAGTAACTACTTAAATAGTATGCGTTTTTATCATTGATCTTGACAAAGTTTATAAATTCAAATATATTTTATGGAAAACATGCACGAAAAAAGTATTTTTTGTACTTTTTTCTCCCGATACCTGGAAGTTTTCAACACAAATCGGCACACCCGTGGTGAGAGCAAGAGCTGCAACGTGGACGTTGTCCGACTGCAGACCCATTGGCTCCACTTCCTACAGGCAGGCAGGGTAAAGATAGAAGCGTAGGATTAGTGCGCAAAAAAACAGAAGTAGACTGGAAGGGCGAAAGAGAAGGCAGCCCACAGCGTTTACTTAACATAAATGCCTACTTATTTCGCGATAGTAGGCACGCGAAAGAGGACAAAGGGTAGAAGTTAGATTGAGGGGTTTGACAAATTTGAATAATTAAATTGACCCAACTTTGAAGGTTTCAGGGGCCTCGGTGGGATTAGAAACAAAGGCAGCATGCTCTAGCCAAATTAGTTGTCGAGACCCCACTGGGAGTCGGGAATTAAATCTCATTTGGATCGATTTAGGCGCCCCGGCTACTGCAACGTGTATGGAATTTACCTATAGTAATACATTATGCTGACTGCCCAAGCAATCAGTCTAGATTCTACAAGATGGCTACCAGGCACACTTAATTATTACGAGGGACTTGGCAGATTTGAGAAATTTAACTGACCTAATCGCGAAAAATTTGCGGCCTTTCTTGTCAATTACTTCTTCCTTAAATTTAATGCTTGAAGAAAGAGTATCGCTCGGACCCTTCAGGTCCATATTATTGTTGACTTGTTTTGTGGGACATAAAACAGTTCAATTGACCTTATTGTGAAAAGCTCAGCGGCTTCAGTGGGATTCAAACTCACGCCAGCAAGGGACGGCTCGAGTACAGCCAACGCTATGGCCAACTGAGCTATCGAGTTAACTTGGTCGTTCACCTTAGATACCTCTAACCCCAGAATTTTTTCTAACGGGACCAGTGGTATTAGCTCGGTTTATTGTCTGACTTATTAATTATCTTGCTACAGTACGCGCCAGATTCGTGCAACATGCCCACATATGCGAAAGGTTGATACTCTTTCGCTAATCGGCATTGACTAAGGTTGTGATACTAATTATTGTATAGGCTTTTCTGAAGTTACGTCAGTCATGATAGAATACGGGCTTTTAACGAGCTCCTTTCTGACCACCAACAAAAAGTATGTACTGTGAAAAGTAACTACTTAAATAGTATGCGTTTTTATCATTGATCTTGACAAAGTTTATAAATTCAAATATATTTTATGGAAAACGTGCACGAAAAAAGTATTTTTTGTACTCTTTTGGTAGGAAATTACGCCTTCTTTAAATTTTACACTTAAAGAAAAGGTATATTTTGGTTTTAAATAAGTTTCAAAATTGCGGAACAATTTTGAAACCTACTAAACGCTACACTCGAATTCAAGGTTTACAGTCTGCACATTTTGCACATCCTGTTTAAGGAACAGTACGCTTTCGCCTATGGTTTTAGGAAGAAGTCACATATTTCCCATAAAATGTTGCAAGAATTGTGGAAAATGTTTTATACGGTATAGGCAGCATTAATAAATTGATGAATACGATGTATTATGAATGAACACCTCACACTCGCGGAAAAGCTCGTGATTATAAATGTTTTTAAAACCGAAAGATACCATTTCTTTAAGCACAAAATTTAAAGAAGGCGTAATTTGCTACCAAATGAATACAAGAAATAATATTTTAGTGCTTGTTTTCCATAAAATAAATTTAACTTTATAAAGACAGTCAAAATCAATTATAAAAACGTATACTATTTAAGTAGTTAATTTTTACAGCATATACGTTTTGTTAGCAATAAGAAATAAACCCGGTAAAAAGCCAACATCCTACCATGACGGAAATAACTTCAGAATAGACTACACGATAACCAGTATCACAACCTGAGTT